GTAATGTAAATATCTGATATGCAGGATGGTCTTAGGCGACCCCTGTGAAAGGGTTGTTCGACCGCCAAAGGGGTCGCGACCCACAGGTTGAGAACCGCTGCTATAGAATGATGCTGAAGCTTGTTAGAATAGTTGACCTGACTTTCTCATATAACAGCTTGAGAATTAACAAAATATAAGCAAATAAAATGAACTATCACTAGAAACACTCCCCCATGCACAACTTACCTAAAGTCTTTGTGTTTGCTAGGAGAGCTTCCTCATAAGACAGTATGTAGTAAAGCACCAAAAGCTGTGCTGTGATACTGAAACGCTGACTAAGGCGGGTGTTGTCACTCTGGAGGTAACAGAAATGCTTTAAAATAATGTTAAATTTCATGAATGCTTTTTTGATAGCAAAAGTACTCAAAATAGACTATTCAGTGTTGCTGCTCCCAAAACGGGAGGAACATTGCTGTGTTTGCATTACTCAGAGAGACAACTTCAAGTTTAAATTAAATTTGAGATGGCATGGGAGATGAAGGGCAACTGCTGTTACTCAACAGAAATCCCATCAAGCTGTGTCTGAAAAAAGGTTTATAGGAGTCTAAAGTCTTACCTGAAATTACCATAAAGAAAATAACTCCTAAAAAAGATATTACACATTAAAATATATTTGTTAAAACATGTGACTATTTTTCCTTTTAAAAAAATAGAGAAAAATATTTTCTTCAAATTCACAACAAATGAATCTAGGTATAGCTAAAATCACAGGAAGCTAAATAAACCTGTGTTGAATGTTACATAGTCCTTTGATCAACACACATTCTCCAGGCATGCCTGACGTTAAAGTGAAGCTTTTAAAAGAATTCCTCAAAAAATGCCTCTTCGCTCGGCTGGTGTCGCTCAGTGGTTGAGCATTGACCTATGAACCAGGAGGTCATGGTTCGATTCTCGGTCAAGGCACATGCCCGGGTTTCGGGCTCATCGCCAGTGAGGGGCATGCAGGAGGCAGTCGATCAATAATTCTCTCTCATCACTGATGTTTCTCTCTCTCTCTCCCTCTCCCTTCCTCTCTGAAATCAATAAAAATATACTTTAAAAAATGCCTCTTCAACAAAATACTTGGAATATCATTCTTTAAATTTTTATAAGTAATCTAAAGAAATTTAATCCCATTTTAATCCAGAACCACCTAGAAGTCCTCTAATAATCGGTAAAAGAAAAATGAAATAAGTTAAAGAATAAACTAAAAGAACAATAAGCTTATTAATGTAAAAAAAAAAAATCACTATTTTACCCCAGTGACTCCTTGGAAAATGTCAAGTATCTCCTGTTCTGTGACTGGCTGATTTGTGGCTTCTGGATTAGATTTAGATGCAGGAGTAAGTACAGAATTTATGTACACGTCAATCAGAGGAAGTAATTGAGGATGGAGTGGAGTGGAGGTTTCACATAGCTGTCTATAAATCCAGTCCTAAAAAAAAGGTGATAGGCACTAAATCAGTTATGGCAATAAGAAAAAGCAAGTGAAATTTTAATAGCACATACAATTTTACATGATTTAGGAATCAGTGCACCTCACTATTAACTTTTAGCAGTTAAAAATATATTATTCAATTTCACACTGTCTTTGATTTAAAAATATGAACTACTTTTATATATAATTGAAAATATTGTCCAGTGAAAGATAAATCTAAAATGATGAGTTTGGGTTTTGAATTTGAACTTTCAGTTTTTAATTTATTTGTTTTTAAGTAGTGACGAGAAAACTAAGTCCCTGCTATATCTGTATGTAGAGCACCTTATCTGTCGTTGTAGAAAACCTCACAGCAGAGAGAAATTTAGGAAGAGGAATGGTTCTTCACTGAGCAAACCCCCAGATGGATCAAGAAAGTGGCTTTGAAAACCACTTATAAGAGACCATCACTTAACTCTCTACACAGACTGAGGACATGTAGAAATGTTGGGTGTGCATTTGGATTAATTCGTATCTATTTCACTTGCTAAAAATATAAAGTAGAAGACACCAACTAGCTAGAAAATAACTTCAATAAATCATAAAAACAAGGATAATTAAAAGTGATATCAATGCACATATTGCTCATTTAAAAATGAAAAAAAAGGCCGTAACCAGTTTGGCTCAGTGGATGGAGCGTCGGCCTGCGGACTGGAGGGTCCCAGGTTCGATTCCGGTCAAGGGCATGTGCCTTAGTTGCGGGCACATCTCCAGTGGGGAGTGTGCAGGAGGCAGCTGATCGATGTTTCTCTCTCATCGATGTTTCTAGCTCTCTATCTCTCTCCCTTCCTCTCTGTAAAAAATCAATAAAATATATATTTTTTTAAAAATGAAAGAAAATGCACATATTGTTCATTGTTTTTTATAAATAAAAGAGCCTCTAGAAAAGGTTCAAACAGATTTCTATGCCTCCTGGGATTCAGCCTTTCCTTAGAGGCCCTTTTAACTGTTTGACATAGCAAACTATCACAAATTAAAAACATATCAAAATATGTACAAGCTGGCTATGGATGACTAGCAACTTTCTCAGTTTGGTGAATAAAACCAAACTACTAGCATAGAAAATGGCAATCTCTTACTAAGGCTTAATGAAAGAGTCATATGCTATTAATGAGAATATAAATGAATTATTCACACTACATTTTGTAAATAACTAAATTTTTTATTATTTAAAAAACCTAAAATTAAGTTCCTAATTACTATAACTATGTGAATGACTTGTAAGTAGATACACTTCATACACAAAACCCAGAGTCAAGGCCTAAAAAATGAACTAGGACTGGGAAAAAAACATTAACTGAGGGTGTAGCTTAAAATATAAATGTAAGGCCATACTTTTATTGACACTTTGTGCTTGGTAAAGGAACGACTCCTGAGAAGCTGGTAAATACAATGAATAGGCAAAAATCCAGTAATGTTGGCACTCAGGTTGCTGGTGACAGGAACTCGAACTGCATGAGCTGTGACAACCTAAAAGGGAAACGCAGTATTAATACATATGATAGAACTAAATACAAAATTATTCTGAAAGAGGGAGGATTAAAAGGTAGACTGTCCATACTTAATACAAGTATAGGCCTTAGAAATACATAAGAAACAATTGTTACATGATTTAATTATTTTTTAATGATAAGGTAGCATACAATTAGGATTTGTGATGTTCTCTAATTTTTTAACTTGTTTTTAAACATAGATATGTTGATAGTAGCATAATAGGTTAAAAAATATAAAATTTGGGCCCTGGCCAGTGTGCTCAATGGTTAGAGTGTCAGCCTGCACACAGAAGGGTCTCAGGTTCAATTCCTGGTGAAGGGTACTTACCTGGGTTTCAGGTTCAATCACTAGCCCCTGTGGGGACCCATGCGGGAGGCAACCAATCGAAGTGTCTCTCTCATATCCATGTTTTTCTTTCTCTCTCCCTCCCTATCCCCGCTTCCACTCTCTCTAACAATCAATGGAAAAATATCCTCGAGTGAGGATTAACAAATATATATATATTTGGAATCCATATAATCTGTGCTCAATGACTCTGGCTAAGTCATTTTATCTTCTGAGTCTAGTTTCATATCTACAAAATGGGACAATACCAACTTACTTGCCTCAAAATTATTTTGTGAGGTGGGAAAATTTTTTTGAAAAACGTGAATTATAAAGTATCACATAAATATAAACCGGAATTTTTACTGTTATCCTCAGTGTCATACACAGATCTCTATTGTCTTCTAGTTAGTTCAAAATGAGTGACTGTTATGTGGGAGTGTATGTGCATTGAGGGGAGAAGGAAGACTCTGATACAGAGATGAAAAATTACCCTAAAAGAAGCAACAATTAGCCCAGCTGGTATTGCTCAATGGTTGAGCCGTTGACCTATGAACCAGGAGGCAGCTGACCGGTAATTCTCTCTCATCATTGATCTCTCCCTCCCTCTCCCTTCCTCTCTGCAATCAATAAAAATATTTTTTTTAAAGCAACAATTATGGATCCATGAGTATTTGCAAATATTTCATTTGTTAAGATATATATTTTTGTATTCTGAGATTTAACATGACAAGTGAACCTGAGAATTAAGGTTAAATTTTAGAATAGTCTCCTTCACTGAAAAAATAAAATATTCTTGGGAATAACCATGGAAACAAAGTGCTGAGGCCAAAAAGAACATGTAAATACAAGAATAAGGAATTTAGACTGTAGTTTATAATCTAGGTAGAAATGAACCTCACAATCCAAAGGTTTAAATAGATCTCTATTTTATTTTTCTTCTGACAAATCCAAATGATTACCCCATGTGAGACCCTTACCACTAATATCTAAGACTGTACTCTAAGTATCTATTCAAAATCTCCAAAATATATACATTTCAAACATGCTTTTGTATATAGTAAGTAGCTTTAAAAGTAAATTTTAAATGGGATTATTTTTACAGATGTTTCAAAGATTAAATAAATCATCACTGGAAACGAAAAAGAATAGAAAATACCTTACTATTCTCTTAAACTGAGATATACAAGTTTTTCCCAAAGAATGTTATGAAAGAAGGTTAAAGAAGTACCTGTTCAGTAAAAATTGCCTGTGTGAAGATATTCTTCATCCTGCTCAAGGAGCTGGGCTTAATTACAATCTAAAACAACCAAAAAAATTCCCATAGGATATAAAACTATATTAAGCACCATTTTCTCTGGTAAATTTATTATCTAAAATGACTGTGATATATAACATTAATGTTCAAATACTCTATTTCAGAAGTGGCTTCTCAGATCCAATACTGAAGTATGTTTTTCCTCAAAAATGAGCCAACATATAAAAGTACTTAGTAAATAATATTATTGACATTTCAAGTCAGTGGGAAGAAGTGGATTATTCAATAAAGAGAGGTGGGCAGCTACCTTTCTGGGAATATTTATAATAAGTCCTCACTTAACATTGTTGTTAGGTTCTGCAACTTTGAGAGAAATGACAAACAGGGGCAGGCAAAAGCAGGTTTACAAAGAAGTAAAAAAATACAATAATAAATAAATAAATAATAATAAAAGAATAAACTCTGTGTTTCATTACTTACAGCTATAAAACTACTTTTGCCCACCCCTGTATATTGAAACCAATTTTAGCATAGACTAATTGATAGTAACAAGAGTTAGGTTCCCACAGCATCTCATCAATGGTATAACAAAGTGACAATGAACAATACAATGTTATGGGACCTGCTGTATATTTGCACACATGACTCCATATCCAAAATAAACTCCAAATGTATTAATAATTTAAATGTAAAACATGAAGCCACAAAAACACTAGAAGAAAATATAGGTGACCATTTCTATAAACCTGAGGAAAGAAAAATATTTCTAAGCATATCAGCAAAGTAAGAACCACAAGAGAAATAACATGCACTATACACACACACACAAAAATAATAATTTCCAAGTGGCAAAAACAACTGGGAAAAATTAATTACAACATAATGTACTTCTCCACATTAAGGATTATAAAATACATCACTGATTTAATTAGTAGTGTTTCAAGAAAAAGAGGGTGAAATACTAGCACATTAACATTACACATCATTTCAATTCAATATTGGGTAAAATATGTCTTTAAATTGATGAAATATGATATATACAGCATAATGACATGTCATTTATATATAAAGAGCCCTTTAAATCAGTAAAATAAAAAATAAATGATAAAAATCCCTGGAGAAAAATTGAGCCATTGATAAGTATTTCACAAAACAAATAAACCAGCCAAAACACATAAATTTTTAAAATTACCAAAAAAAACCAAAAAACTACCACTATAGCCCTGGCTGGTTTGGGTTGGTGGGTAGAGCGTTGGCCTGTGGACTGAAGGGTCCCAGGTTTGATTCCAGTCAAGGGCACATGCCTGGGTTGTGGGCTCGATCCCCAGTAGGGGGTGTGCAGGTGGCAGCCAATCAATGATTCTCTCTTATTATTGATGTTTCTCTCTCTCTCCTTCTTTGAAATCAATAAGAATATATTTTGTTTAAAAACACAGTTCTTGAAAACAAAAAGAAAAAAATCATTTTAAACAAAACACTGTGAGCTATAAAAATAATGACAATCATATTTACCATAGTTTTCACTAGTAATCAAAGACAAAATCAAATTTCAGTAATGCCAGTGATGGTGAGAGTAAAGAAAAATAGGCACTCTCACTCACTAATGAAAACAGTTTGATTACTATAATCTTTCTAGAAGATAACCTGGCAATACTCATTAAACACCTTAACATCATCATACTCTTTTAGTTAGTAACTGCCTCAAAGAACTTTATCCTAAGGAAATAATCCAAACAGCATTTGATAATAAGAACTTTATCCTAAGGAAATAATCCAAACAGCATTTGATAATAAACATGTGAGTATCCGTGTATATATTTACATAAATAAGGTTTTTAATTTTCCCAAAATTGGAAAATTTACATAGCTAATAAAAAAGGATCCATTAGCAAAGTCATGACTGGTCCACATGATGGACTAAGATAGAATCACTGAAAATTATACAGTATTAGAATATTTGACATGAAGAAACGCTCATCATATATTGCTAAATTCTTTAAAATTACAAAATATGTATGTCAATTTAAAGAAAGAACAGACACCAGAATGTTAACAATAATATATTTGATATCTCTGAACAATGAAGTTATATTTTCCCCTTCTTTTCCGTGTTTACCAAGCTTTCTACACTGAACATCTATTATTCTGGTAAATAAATGTTTTCATAATGTAATTTTTTCTAAGACCTTCTGATAAAATTTCAAACTATTAAATTAAATTACTTCTACATGAAAATCTATTTACTTTACACTACAAGAAAATGTCCAGCTTAGAAACACCTTCTTTAGAAAGAAGACAAAAGAAAATTACCTTCATCCCCAAAGTGGAACAGACCAAGTCAATGATAGCACTAAGTTGGTTACTATGAAAGTACATAGCGACCAATAATAACATCTCCCCAAAAGAAGCAGAAACGCCTGAAGTACTGTTGAAACAGAAAATAAAATATGAATTTCCAAACAGATTACGAAAAACTTACTCAGCTAACTGAAACAAATGAAGTCCTCTTACCTCTCAAAATAAGCTTCTTCTTTTATCATCCAACTTAACCACACTACCATTAGCTGCTCCTGTTCAGGTGTACTATATAAAAAATACCAGAATGTTACTGGTTTAACTCAGATATAACTGCATAGGAGTAAGGAAGCATTCTGAAATTATTTTTAGTAGAAGTTATTTTTCCTTCCCTATTTTGAAATATCAATTCAAATTAATAGTGTGTTGAATTGCCCATTGTCACAGAGATATGAAGTAGTTGTAGGTATGAAGTAGTTGTAGAGATGGAGAATGAGGGCCTATGCTTTTCTTTAAGGTTGTAAGTAGTCAAAATCTCTCAAAAGTCTTAATTATTTCCTTTCCATCTTTTACCTAGAAAATGAAATTTAACTTATAGGAACATTTTGAGAACTCAAAATTGTAGAAAAATAAGTGATCACTATTCAAAAAGAGAAGAACGATATAGGGAAAAAGAGACAGCTACAGTTCATCAGATATGAAAGATGGTTATAAAAGTATATCAACAATGACTTTTAAAGGAAATTCCTAAATTTAGATTGTAAAGGGCAAGTTAACTTTGACTTGTAAAAATAATGTTCATTGATCTCCTACTCCATTGTGGTATAAATGAATAAATAAAAAGCAACTGAAAAGCCTGCTACCCAAAGGTAAGAAAACTGAAAAGGTCATTATTAGCCACACCCAAACCATTTTACTAATAAGACAGTGTTATATAGTAGAAAGTTACACCCTTTAGAGCCTATCCAGACAGACCTGAGTGGTAATCCCATCTCTGCTAGTTACTGGTAGTGTGACCCTGAACAAGAAATTTAAATAAATATAACAACCACCCTAGAAAACCACCTGAAAACTAGATGAACAGAACTATAATTACAAAAATTAAAAGGCAAAAGGTAGTCCTGGCCAGGTAGGTCAGTTGGTTAGAGCATTGTTCCAATACACCAAGGTTATGGGTTAGGTCACCGGTCAGGGACATACAAGAATCAACCAATGAATGCATAAATAGTTGTAACAACAAATCAATATTCCTCTTTTCTTTCTCTCTCTCTCTCTCTCTCTCTCTCTTTCTCTCTATCTCCCCCACCCCCTCTCTCTGTAAAATCAATCAATAAATATTCTTAAATGCAAAAGTAGGATGATCATGTGTAATTACAACAATAAATTTAAGAACATATACAAGCACACAGACAAAAGAAGTAAAAAATATTGACAAAACATAAACATGGATGGGGGGAATAAAAATGGTAGTGATTATAAAATGTGTTTGAATTTAAATGATCATCAACTTACAATAGATTGATATAAACATAGTTTGGTATATTATATATGAAGCACATGGTAATCACAAACCAAAACTATGGGAGAAATATACAAGAAATAAAGAGAAAGGAATCCAAACACAACACTACAGAAAACCTTCAATATATAAGAGAGCAAGAGAATAAGAAAGGAATAGAGAACTACATAAACAATCAGAAAACAATTAATAAAATGGCAATAACCACACACCTATCAATAATTACTTTAAATGTAAATGTATTAAATGCTCCAATCAAAAGACAAATGAAACAATAGGGAGGTGAAGGCCTGAGGCGGGGGACGGGGGCAGGCTAGAAGAGGTCAATGGGGGTAAAAAAAGGGGGCATATGTAATACTTTCAACAATAAAGATTTAAATTAAAAAAAAAGACAAATGGATAAAAAAGTGGTACATATATACAATGGAATATTACTCGGCCATAAAAAAGAATGAAGTCTTACCATTTGTGAGAACATGGATGAACCTAGAGGGTATTGTGCTAAGTGAAATAGGTTAGACAGAGAAAGACAAATACCATAAGATTTCATTTATATGTGGAATCTAATAAACAAAATAAATGAACAAGCAAGACAGAAGCAAACTCAAAGACGCAGAGAACAAATTGATGGTTGCCAGATGGGAGATAGGTTGGGAGATTGGGTAAAAAAGGCGAAGGGATTAATAAATTCAAATTGGCAGTTACAAAATAGTTACAAGGATGTAAAGTACAGCTTAGGAAATATAGTCAATAATATTATAATAACTATACATGGTGTCAGGTGGGTGCAAGACTTACTGGGGGATCACTTTGTAAGTTATAAAAATGTCTAATCACTATGCTGTACACCAGAAATTAATACAATATTGAATGTCAACTGTAATTGAAATTTTTAAAAATTACAAAATAAATTAATAAACACACAAACAAACAAAAGCAGACCTTGAAAAAATAGAGCAATTTAAGGTACCTGACAAGTGTAGAAAAGGCCAGCAGCATACAAAAGGAAAGTGAAACAAAGCGAACCCCAGCAGGTGTAGCAGGAGGACGGCTTGTCATCAACTGTAGCAATTGTTCAGCTTCTTCCTCAGTTGGTCTAAAAAAGAAACACATTATTACGCTTTACTTTTTTTAGCTGAAGAAGGGAAAAAGAAAAAGGGACTTCCTAACAGTTTCATCATTCAGATACAAACTTTAAGCTTTGTAATAATACCTCACTATTTATAAAATCTTTAACATCTTGAATTGTGAAAAGCAACACTGTTGAGTTTACAACCAGTGTTCTTCCTTGGACACAAATACAGGCACTGCTCACGGTGCACAATAGTATGGAAGCATAAAAATAACCATATAAGCTGATGCCCTGGCTAGTGTGGCTCAGTTAGTTGGTTGTCATCCCATGCACCAAAAGTTTGCTGGTTCAATTCCTGGTCAGGGCACATGCCCGGGTTGCGGGCTGAATCCCTGGTAGGGGGCACGCAGGAGGCAGCAGATTGATGTTTCACTCTTACATGGATGTTTCTCTCTCTCCTTCTCCCTTCCTTTAAAAATCAATTTTTAAAAAATCTTTTTAAAAAATCATTAAAAAAACATATAAGCTGAAATTACACATTGTGATCTTAATAATCAATGGAGAATATTTCAACTGTTCTGTGACCTTTAAATTTGTTTTTGTCAAAACATTACAAATTCTGTCAGTTATAATGCATAAAGAAATAAAAAACAGTAAAACTAATATTTATACAGCACTCTATAATTGAAAATATTAGACACATCAGGAATTAAAGTGTTTTCTTCGTAAAAAAATAAAACTATCAATAGTAGTCTGAACAGCCTTTGTCTTCTCATTGTATAACTTACAACACAAAGTGTATGTCTTTTCTAAGCCTTGATGAACTGTCATACCCCCTTCTAAGTTTGGTTCAACTTCCAATATGTTATCCCCTGTACTTTCAGTCATGAAATACCTGAGACTTCCTTTCATGTGAAGATTTTTGCCTGCATCACTTCCTCTAAAACTTCTTTATCCTTTTTATCACAATAAATTTCCTCATTTATGTTGACAAGTTCATCTGGCTGCATATCTAGAGTCTCTCAAATGGAAGCTGTGTCAACATTCTCACAAGTCAGCTATTTCTTCTATTTACATTTGGTTCAAATGCCACTTCCAACAGTACCACTTTTTGTTTCTTTGCTTCACTTTCATCTTTATTGGCTAATCCCCTCCTTCAGTTATCTATTCTTATAAAATGTCACATGGGTTTATCACTGAGAGACAAGGAGACAATACATGCACCCACTTTGCTGTCTATTCATAAACTGAGTAATCGATGTGTGGTGACCAATTGCTGACAGATTTTAAAAGAAATGATGCAATTGGCCACTGATCATGATGTGCATGTTATTCATACAGTAATCTATGGCTTAAAGAGCTCTCAGCAAAGCTGGTATTTTACACAATTATGTGGTTAATGTATCATGGTAACTGATACATTAGATGTTGAGGAAGCATAATATTTAATTAAACAGTGGTAACTGAAATTCATATATATCAAAGCCATGCAAAGTGAGGATTGTGTAAAACAGTTGAGGACATTATTCAAAAGGATATAGTGCACTGACTAAATGATAAACCTTATGCTTAATAATCACATCATATCAACTGATGACCTCAGCTGTAATAGGAAACAGGAGAGCTTTACTTCAACCAGCTGCATGGGCTGGTAAACAATCATTCACAGTCAAGCTGTGGTGAAGTCACAGGTTTCTTAAACTGCTTTGGCTTGTTCCATATTTACATAATTATATTTACATCAGAACAAAAAAGATAGATACATCCCAGCTAAGGATGTTTTGCCTTAGGACTTCATTCTTTATATAGGCCAGCCCACTAACTAAGCCCAACAGCAAACCCAAATCCTCAGAATAAAAGGCCTTTGACTCACTTTCTTGGGATTAGAAACAAGAAAGTAAAATGACAAAAAGGTAAAATATCAAATTATGGAATACTTGAGTCCAGCGATCCCCATCAAAGCACAGTACAGACGTAAGAGTGCACTGGCTTTCACAACATGCTCTTCTTTCAGCCCCGAGTACACAGACACATGGGGCTCGGTCTCCGTGTCAGCCTCGTCCGCGATGCGGGTGCTTCTCACTGTGGGAAGGATGCCTGTCAGCTCCAGAAGCAGCTGCCGTCGCATCTGCCAAAGGACAGAACTGCTGGTCTCTCTTTTCCTCTGTAAGAAATATGAGCCACAAGAAGAAGAAAGCATGGACACTCAGTAAGTCAGAAGGAAGTTCAAACAGAGCTCCCCAGGTAAACACTTGAAATTGACCCCTTTAAGGAGGCTGTCATAACTACAGAATCTCATTTTAACCAATCGAGCACACTCAAAATTCACTGGTTCATTTCAAGAATACTCCACTCATCCTAATTTGGATTGGTTGTACAGAATACACTGAATTAAGTACAATTTGAATTGTAAAACATCATTTAAAATGGTATTTTCAAATACATAATGACTAATGGAGTCACATGTGCTATAGAAGTGCTCATATTTTGGAGACACAAGACCTTGGATTTAAACAACAGCTCTGCTATTAGTTAAGTATGTTTAGGACTTAACTAACAGCAGATTCTCAAATGCTTTCAGGGAAACCAGGTCAAAAATGTGTCCTTAACCATTTGTACGCCGTAAGCGTCTATAGACGCAAGCGGCAGACCTTTTTTAATTAAATTCAAAACATCGTGACAGTTAACTGGTTAATAATACTAAGACATTATTGGCCTTTTTTACTATTATTTTTACTATTATAGCGCAGTTCTCCAACAGTTTCTATGAAACCAGACATTAAAGAGATTTGCAAAAATGTAAAAACACCACCACTCTCATTAATTTTTTTTTATTTTGGAAAATATGGCTATTTTTCATTAAAAAATGTTATGTTCACACTGAATAGATTATTATTTTTAAATAAGTATTTCAAATATTTGTTTTCATTTCTAATCTGATAAATAGCAATAGATAAAAGCACATAAACAAAAGCTCTTTGGTATCCTCAATGATTTTTTTTTAATGTTAGGAGGGTCCTGAGGCTAAGAAATTGGAGAACCATTGGTCTAATGACATCATTCTCAAAGTGTTTCTTCCTCTTTTACTAATTGTCAAAATATCCTGATCCTTAACCTATACAGATATTTATCCCTCACCTGTTGTCCATTTCGTATAAAAGTTCCAAACCAAGTCCGGACTTTCGCATTTGTTCCAAGAAGCAAACCACTAACAAAACAAACCAAGTCAGTCACTCCATCTTCACTAACTTCATTCTTAGTATGATCCAATGTCAAAGCTACTCCAAGGCCTGGCAAGTGACATTCTTCCACCTAACACAGCACAGAAAACAAACTGAACTCAGTATCATAAGGAAAAGAGCCAGGATGCTTCAGAATCTAAAGCCTCTAAAGCAGTGGTTCTCAACCTTCCTAATGCCGCGACCCTTTAATACAGTTCCTCATGTTGTGGTGACCCCCAATTTCATTGTTATAAATTGAACATAATTAAAGCATAGTGATTAATCACAAAAACAATATGTAATTATATATGTATTTTCCGATGGTCTTAGGCGACCCCTGTGAAAGGGTCGTTCGACCCCCCCCAAAGGGGTCGCGACCCACAGGTTGAGAACCGCTGCTCTAAAGTTTAGAGGAAGAAGTATCACAAAACAAAAACCCAGAGAGGAAGGTAATACATCCAGGATATAATTATAATCTACACTAATAAAAGAGAAACATGGTAATTGGCGTACGAGCTACCCTTCCCATTGGCTAATCAGCATATCCTTATGCAAATTAACTGTCAGCCAAGATGGCGGCCGGCAGCCAGGCAGCTGGAAGCGAACATGAGGTTTGCTTGCTGCAGTGACTGCGGACTCCAACCCCCGCCTGACTTGACGGCCTCTGAGCTACAACTCTAAGAAACTATGTACTATGTTGCAAATGTAGTAGCTAAACAAAACCCCAGAAATCAGCTTTCAGCCAGCCGGGATCTCAGAGCTAGAGTTATACATTGTTTCGATTATAGCAGCGGAAGCCTCAGAGCTAGAGCCAGAGCTAAAGCTGGCCCAGAATAAAAAAAAGAAAACAAGGAGCGGTTGGGAGCTTCAGTCAATTGCCAGCCTGAAAGCAGCCCTCAGCCCCTCACCCAGACTGGCCAGGCACCCCAGTGGGGACCCCCACCCTGATCCAGGACACCCTTCAGGGCAAACCAGCCGGCCCCCAGGCCTCTATCCTATATAGTAAAAGGGTAATATGCCTCCCAGCACTGGGATCAGCGGAGCCGCGAGGCCTCCTGGCACTGGATCAGCGTGACAGGGGGCAGCGCCCAAACCCCCTGATCGCCCTGCAGCTCTGTGTGTGACAGGGGGCGGGGCCACAACCTCCCTATCCGCCCTGCTCTGTTCGTGACAGGGGAAGGCGCCCCAACCCCCTGATCAGCCCTGCAGCTGTGCCTGATAGGGGGGAGCTCCCCAATCCCCTGATTGCCCTGCGGCTCTGTGTGTGACAGGGGGCAGGGCCACAACCTCCCTATCTGCCCTGCTCTGTGCCTGATAGGGGGGAGCTCCCCAATCCCCTGATTGCCCTGCGGCTCTGTGTGTGACAGGGGGCGGGGCCACAACCTCCCTATCCGCCCTGCTCTGTTCGTGACAGGGGAAGGCACCCCAACCCCCTGATCAGCCCTGCTCTGTGCCTGATAGGGCGGAGCTCCCCAACCCCCTGATCACCCTGCGGCTCTGTGTGTGACAGGGGGCGGGGCCACAACCTCCCTATCCGCCCTGCTCTGTTCGTGACAGGGGAAGGCACCCCAACCCCCTGATCTGCCCTGCTCTGTGCCTGATAGGGGGGAGCTCCCCAATCCCCTGATTGCCCTGCGGCTCTGTGTTTGACAGGGTGCAGCACACCAACCCCCTGATCGGCCCTGCTCTGTGTGTGACAGGGTAGAGCCATAACCTCCCCATCGGCCCTGCCCTGAGTGTGACAGGGGGCAGGCCAGCAGGTCGTTATCTCCTGAGGGGTCCCAGACTGCAAGAGGGCACAGGCCGGGCTGAGGGACCCCCCCCTTCCCCCCCGAGTGCACAAATTTTTGTGCACCGGGCCTCTAGTTTTCTATAAGACTCCAAAACCATCTTGAGAAGAGTTCCTGGTCCTAATATAAAGTCTTTTGTCTCATAAAAATAAGACCTCTTACCACCATGCCTCGGACCTTGAGAGCCTGAGAAGGATTCATTTTACATAAAAAGCATAAGGCATCTGTTCTGCGCCTTCCTCCAAGACTCTCTTCATCCTGTCGTTCTCCATTTTTGATCAGGCCTCTACAAACTGAACATTGAATAGCCTCTATTACTTTAAGCTTTGTAAGTAAAAAGTTAGAAAAAAATTTTCAGCCTTGAGAAGCAATCATTTATGCAGATTAGACACTACAGAAGAAAAGGGTTAGGAAACTTGAAAGCATAGTAAAAGAAATTGGTAAAAATAAAGCACAGAATTAAAAAAAAGACTTAAAATATGCACAGTGACCTTCGGGACAATATCAAGGAGCCAAACAGAGAAAGGGAATAGAAGACAAAAATATATTTGTCCAAATTTGATGAAAATTAAAAACACAGAGAAACTCAATAAACTCCAAGCAGGATAAACACAAAGAAATCATATCCAGACACATCATAATCAAATTTCTGAAAATCAGTGATAACAAAGAAAGTAGCCAGAATAAATAAATAAATACATAAATAAATACATAAATACGTAAATAAAAATAGCCAGAGGCAAAAAGAAACATTATATACAGAACAGAAATAAAAATCACCACAGAGAACAGAATGACATCTTGAAAGAGCTAAAAGAAAATGTCAACCTAAAATTTTATACCCAATGAAAATTTGGCAAGCCCAGCCCGTGTAGCTCCGTGGTTGAGCGACAACCTATGAACCAGAAGGTGACAGTTCGATTCCCAGTCAGGGCACATGCCCAAGTTGCTGGCTCAACAAACTGAAAGGAAATCCACAATTATGTCTGGAGATATCAACACCCTCCCCTCAGTAACTACTGGAACAAGTAGACAGAAAATTAGTAAGGACAGTGCTTCCAAAGGGCTTTTACATATCATGTGATAATCTCTTAGAAATGTAAGAGAAATATCAGTATCTCCATTTTATAGATGTGAAGTATCTTGATGGCAATCACATAAAGAATAATTGACAAAGCCAGAAATTATGACCCCCAGATTCAGTGTTTTTTTCCTCCGTGGCTCCCAATTCCCAAATTACCTTACTCAATAATGTTTTTACTTTTATATCACTCAGACCCAAATAATAATCTTCAATCACTAGTAGTTTGAAATAGACATGAAAAATTTCAATTGATTTTTCTTAATTTCTACCCTACACTTTTCTGCAAACTGATAGCAATAAGGCTAAAAAACAACGGCCTAATTGCTGGTATTTCTGATTACAGATACCATGCATTGACTGCTCCCTGGCTATTTCACAGATATATGTCTCCTCTCCTCTTTGCTTCCTGAGCATTGGGATTATATCTTCTAGTTCTTTGGTATTTTTTATTGTCATAATATAGCACCAGTGCCTATTAGCAAAAAAAAAAAAAAAAAAAAAAAAAAATTTGCTACATACTCACTGTACTTAAAATGTTAATCTCAAAGCAATTTTGAAACCTCTAAACTCAATATTTCTAAAATTAGTGCACACTAATAAACTTTCAAAAGACAAAAAATATCAAAACCCCATAAATGTTTCTTCTTAGCTCAAACAGAGGTCCTTAGATGCCCAAGTAAATCTCTTCAATATCTCATTTCAAAATTATATTTACCTTCATTGAAACTATCAGGAACATTGGCCACCAACAGACACAAGAACCAGGCACCATTTCTAACATGTAGCAAGGCTTCAGCTACATCAACTATAGGAAGCAGGGAAGGGAGCTCTATGAGAAAACAAAGGCAGTGTTACTACTGAAGAGTGACATTTCATTGTATTTACATTAAACATCTTTTGACATTTCACTGATGTCACTTAAAAGCAATTAAGGCAATTTCTTTTCACAGTCTAGAGTTGAAGTGTCTAGTAGGACAGCCACCAACCACCTGTGGTTATTTAAATCTAAATTAAATGAAATTAAAAATAGCTCAGTTCCACCCAGATAGTGTGGCTCAATGGTTGGGCATTGATCTATGGACCAGGAGGTCACAGTTCGATTCCCCATCAGGGTACATGCCTGGGTTTGTGGGCTTGGTCCTCAGTGTCGGGCAGGTGGAAGGGGGGAGGGGAAAGAGAGAGGGAGACAGAGAGAGAGAGAAAGAAACATTGATGTAAGCGATATACATCAATTGGTTGCCTCCCACATGCACCCTGATCCAGGCCAAGGATTGAACCTGCAACCCAGGAACGTGCCCTTGACCGGGAATCGAACCCAAAACCTTTAGTGTGCAGGCTGACACTCTAACCACTGAGCACACTGACCAGGGCTTTTTTTTTTTTTTTTTTTTTTTTTGTTTTAGTTCTCACCCAATGATGTATTTTATTGATTTTAGAGAAAGCGAAAGGGAGAGGGAAAAGAAGAGGGGGAAGAGAGAAGGGGAGAGAGAGAGAGAGAGAGAGAGAGAGAGAGAGAAACAACTGGTTTTGAATCTGTGACCTTTTGGTGTGAGCTCCAATCAACTGAGCCACACCAGCCAGGGCATACTATTAGTCATTTTTTACTTAATTTTTTAAGGTACATTCCAAGTTAAGAAGTGATACAGTATCATTTAACAAAAAACTATAACTGAAATGTATCTTAGCATTCATTACAGTACCTGCTTGTAAAATACAAAGTACATCTGCAGCTTCCTCCAAATAGACTGGACTCTCAAATAGCTCGGATGACTTGATAAAAAATTCTCCACTGCAATCAGATACCTAAATTAAAAACATATATATATAAACTCTATCAATGTTAGGTAATTAATTAAATTCCTTACTAATTTTGTAATTATTTGTTCAGCTTGCACACTATGTCTCTTAATATGTCATTAATACACAGCATCAGAATATGCAATATTCCATAAATTTGAACCAATGTAACCAATTAACAGTCACATTAATTATTATTCAGACATGACAGTATGGGTTTCTATAATTTATGTCTATATAAATATTTGGAGACATCTGGAATTAAAGATAAGACAATTCAAAGAAATGAACTAGAAATGCTACCTACATAAGTTGTAGCTGAAAAAAGAAAAAAAAAACCTGTAAACTTAAAGTAGCATAACAAATATAAATTCATGTTCAATGCTGAATGAACCGTGAGAAAAACAAAGAATAAAAATTTAAGTCAACAAAAGTACCTACTAACTTTTTAAAAACTTTCCTAGAGTAGTTTTATCACCACATTTCCTATATGCCAGAAACATTCCATAACAGAAAGGTCACTTATTTTATTAGAGACACCAAGTGAGGTTATTGAGAAAAATATGTAGGAGAAATATTGGTAGAAATTAAAGACTTTCCATATAATAGAGAAGAGTAAAATAAAATAATTGTAATAGAAAGAAATTTTTTAAAGATTTATAACATATCTTAAAAACTATCTAAAATTGATGAGTCCCTCTCCCCTTACCAAGTATTTTATTTGGAAACAGAATTTCAGGGGTTTTTTTTCTCCACAATTTATAAAACTTTATTATAAATTAACTGACCTTGAAATTGAACAGTAAATAACTTTTCCCCTAAAACTCTGGGCCTAATCTCATTTAAGCCATCTTACTATGAAGATCTAATTTAGTTCTTTGTATGATAGACCCCTGACATTCACAAATTTAAAACTCAGAGTTTCAATTAACCATAATTACCCACAGGTGCATAACCTAAAATAATCTATCATTTTGCTGACATGAGAAGTTGAATAGCCTTTACTGTACAGAAGCAATTCAGTCATCTAGTGAGTAAGGCTAGTCAATGACCTACATCCAATTCAGCTTTGATATTCCCTACTCACTGTTATATAAAGGTTATTAATACTCACTCAGTGTCTGAAGGAACTGTGTACATTTTTCAGTTATACAACACAACATTTTATGGGGGAAATTGTACCCTATCATGATATAATCAAATTTGGTAATCTTATGTAACTGTCAAGAAGCCATTGTACTAATTCCATATAGAAAAAATTCCTATGCTAGAGAACACAGAAGAGTCATACATGAGAGAAAACAGTAATAAGAGAAAGAAAGCCTTTAAGGCAGGCATTTAATAGCATTTGAAACCTTTGAAAGGAACACACTTATATAACCAATAGAAATATGTGTAGAAGAGGATGCATCCTGCCTGCCTTCTTATCTCTGCTTCATGCATATTTTGAGCTGTAATTCAAATAAATGTACCTTGTTCATAATTGCCAACAGCTCACTAAGCACAAGACGCAATCGACGAGGTGAATCACTGTGTTCAAACTCTAATGTTAGTCCATGCTGAAGCTGTGATACCAGGATGCTCTCTCCAGCACCTCCTCCAAGTTTATGCCTAATAAAGTACAAACGTGTAAATCAACAATTATGAGAACAGTGGCATAGAAGTAATAACAAAAAGGTTATCTTTTATTGAAATAATCTACAAAAGAATGTATGAACTCTATTCTTCCATTTCATGAATGTATGAAATTACTTCTGAATTACTACTTAGTTTGCCTATCTATCTCAGGAATGTAAAGATTCCATCACAAATGATAGTTAATACCCACTTCCATTAACAACAGTGGCGCATTGTTGGATTCACAATGGGCAGGGACCAACAAAACCTCCGCCCAGAGACTCACATTGGAGACTCCATGTAAACTTAAAAAACCTCTCAGATGATTCCAATAAATCCTTCTACTCTAGGGGAACTTACTCTACCCAGTTCCCACAGAGAGTAACTGGCCTAATCAGTTTAGACGGAATACAATAGTGTATGTATCGAAACTTCTCTACACAACATTTTATAATATGGAAATTCAAAAGAATTTTAACTGTAAGTAGAAAAAAAAAAACAAGTAAAATACTCTCCAAAGTTTAGACTCTCAATCTTCTCTTTTGGGCGTGCATCCAATAAAAAGCCCACAAAGCTCCAAAAGATATTTGATTCCTCCTTCTTTGGCAAGCCCAAGTAAATCCCAATCTGCATATTGTATAACGTAACGTTACCGAAGCTGCTGTTCTTTGCTGGCATCCTGTTCCAAGGCATGGAAGTCCACAGACAACAAGGCAACAATGGAGTTGACAGCTTCCACTCCCGAGAGAAGGCGAAGAATGAGTTTTTTATCCTGGGCCCAGCTTTGGCTCTGGTCAGCAGGAGCACAAAGTGCCATCCGCACCAAGCAGGGCAGGAGAAGTCTTAATTCTGGGTCACTTAACGATGCCAAACGAACAACATCCACCTTCTGCATTGCCTCAAAAGCAAAGGGGCTGACAAACTGAAGGCTTGTACACTCCGTCATTGTCACTGTTGGTCCTAATGATTTAAAAAAAAAAAAAAAGTAGGGATGTAACTCCCACACGTATGAACACCCTCTTTTTAAGTGCCCTGGAAAATGTGGTTTATCTTTAATAAGCCCCTGTGTTGACAATCAGTTCCTGGAACAATTAAAGGCTCCCTACATTTCTACGGCCATCTGGAAAATGAGAAAGAAAATAGTATATTAATGTCTCTTCTAGCCTTAGGGATTTTCTGTTCAAATACTCTTAGTTTGCAAAGAAGGAATACGAAGCAGAGAGATTAAGTAACAAGCCCATAGTATTATTACTAGTTAGAGGCAAAAGCCAAGGCTAAATCCTCATCTACTATATCTCAGCCCAAAGCTTTCTCCATGACACCAGTCCTCTCAGTGCCACACGTAAAATAAAAATAAGCCGACGGCATGGTGAAGAACGCTCCTCTTCTGTCCCTCTCTAGTTTCACATGCCTAGCCAACAGGTTAAAGAATGTCAGGCTTCTCTTTCCACACTGCAGGAGTCGGCGTTGGTCAATGGCCTCAGGAGCCAAAGGCAATGTCCGATTCAAAACTCTGGAGGCCTTACCACCATCCCGTGTGCCCTGGGTGAAAACCAGCTGTGGAGGCGGGAGGTGCAATTAGCTATGGGAGACAGATGAGTGCCACTCGGGCACTTCTCTGTCCTCAGGAGTAATCAGAGGTATTAAAAAAACAAACAAACCAACAAAAAAACAACAACAGGGGTCAGTAAGCCAATGCCATCATGGGTACCAGTCGTGGGCAGAAACGCTGCTTTGCTTTTAAGCAAGAGGAGTTGGCCTTCGCACTGAGGGGCGGGCTGAGGGAGCAGAGGTGCCCTGTGTGCTCATAGGTCTCGCCCCCGGTGTAACGAGGACCAAACAGTCCCTCGGGCTGAGAAAAGCGGGCGGGCTGCCGACCAGGACCAGGGGACGCGCTGAGGTCCGAGAAGCGGAAGCTTCAGACCTTCGGTTCTGCCCTCCAACCTCCCGGGATCCCACCCGCATCCGCGTCCCACAGGCGGGACGCGGTAGAAATCGAGAGCGCGGTCCGAAATCGGGCCTAGGCGAGCATCTGGACTCCCCGACCCCGGCGGTGCCGAGTCGACCCGGGCTCCCTGAAGTCTGACGCCGGGGCCAATCGGGTCAGCGGTGCGGGGGGGCTGGATGGGGCCTCCGCGCAAAGGCAGAACCCAGGCCGAAGGGAGCAGAAAGCGGAGGAGACTGTTTCAACCTGCACCCAGCACCTTCATTCATCCCCAGCGTCTGGCTCCCGTCGGCCACCGTACTGCACTGAAAGGAAGAGTGGCTGCGAGAGGAAACCCAGAGACGTCGGCGCGGACACCCGGGTGCGCGTGCGCGGCCCCGCCCCTTCCTCCCCCCGCTGCTTGCTCCGCCCACTCTCCCCTCCGGAGGGTTTAGAACTCGCTGTCAGTCTATTTCCCTGACTCTGCCCGCGGTGTCATTCAGCCCCTTCGAGCTGCAGTTTCGGCTTCACCTGGCTTAACGTGGGTAAAAGAAGTGTTAAAATTGTCCCCACTGTTCTTTGACCGGAATAGACTGTCCTCTTCTTCCGTCTCTGCCTATGCCCTCCTACACCAAAGTTCTAGAATCCCAGGATTTGTAGGAAAATTTAAAAAGTAATCTAATCCCCGAGCCTTCCTTCCCTCTCGACTTCACACACAGTCAGAGGTTAAACCTCTCATTGCAAGGTTCCTACGTTAGGGTCTATGGATCCTTAGAGCGCGATGAATGGAGATTTGGGGATTCTCTGGAACCTGCGGAAATTGCGAGTTGCTTGGCATGTCTTCTGGAAAGAGGGTCCAAAACTTTCAACAACGCAAAGAACACTGGTCTCCCAGAAAAGATTGAGAACCACTACTCTGTGTGTTTCATACTATCTCCAGTGCCTGGCTCAGTCGTCCTGTATTTAGCACCTTCTATTTACAAAACATTGTGCTCGGAGTTGTAAACAAAAATAGTTGACAGAGACAGTACTTTATAGTTACCAAGGCTTTGACAGAGAGATTATCTCTTTAAAAATAAGGGCTGTGCTCCGGCCGGGTTGCTCGATGGTTAGAGTGCCCGCACACCAGAGGGTCCGGGTTGGATTCAGTTCCAGGGCACAGAACTGGGTTGGGGCTTCCACCCCAGGAGGAGTATGGGAGGCAACCAGTCATGTGTCTCTCTGACATGGATGTTTCTCTCTCTCCCTACACTCTCTCTGAAAATCAATGTGAAAAAAAAATCCTCGGATATTAACAACACAAGTAATAATGTCTGCTTTCAACATGAAAAATCAGCAGAGGGAGAAACAAACTAACGTGTTGCAGTGTTTCTCAGACTTTTTTCACCTGTCCCACAGTAATACATTCCACATTGTGCCTCAAAACACACATATGCATATGTACCCACATTTAAATGGAAACGGGTATCTTATGAAATAATACACATACTACATGTAATGTATTCCATTCTACTTTAAATTGCTGGTCACTACATACAAACTGATTTCACAACTATAATATTGTTATTTTTAAGCTGATATTTATTAAGGAGTTATTTATTGAACACTTGCTAGGCACTAGTGCTTTATAGCTATTATCAGATTTAATTCTCTGAGGTAGATAACAATATTCTCCATTTTTAAATTGTGGAAATTGAGAGAGGTCAAGCAATTTAATCTCCCTGGATGGTTATTTCACAGGAAGAGTAATTCAAACACTGATTTTGGGGAACAATAGAAGAGCAGGTGGATGTAAACTGATTTTTAAGATCTCTTTAAATCTAATTGTTTATGATCCTGAAATCATTAACGGAGAAACAACATGCAGATCCATCTTGATCAGCAGAGAACAGCAAATCATGTCTAGCCTGAACAAGATAGCGAGAGTGTGATGGTGACAAGTGCTGACACTTGTTTTCTTTTTTTCTTCTCTTCCAATTCTAATCTCAGTATCACCACCACCCAGAGTTGCTCAAACCAGAAACCTGTAAGTCATCCTAGACTCCAGCCTCTCCCCCAAATAGCCACTTAGTCAGCAAGTCTTTCAAATCTGCATTGTAATGTTTGCCAATGAAATCATTTTGACAATCACAGAGAAATACAGACACCCTAGTGAAAAAGACTTACTCTAGAACTTTTGAGTTTTAGAGCTGCTTTCTCTGAGGTCGATTACCTAACTGTACTACAATCAATTTATAAAGGTGGTGCAGCCCACATGTTCAATTAGGCAGATTCAGAAACTTCTAGAATGGCAAATAATGCTACAAATTAGCCCAAACATTTAGTTGCCTATAAAATACAAAACCTTAGATTATCAGTGGAGATTCTTATATATTTGCTTCACCCTTTTGTGATTATGATTATCCCTTTTTAAGACCAATGTAGCACTGAGGTTCATTACCATTTCTGTTGACATAAAAATGTATTTCATCAATTCTGTGATTACTTTTTTTCACATTTTAATATCTCTGAAATTGGGATGTCTTTAAATCAATAGTGTTAAATTTTACCTAGCAGCATTTTATTTTTAGTGACACATAAAATAATGTCTTACAATTGCTGGTGTCTTAGGTTTGATGAAACATGTAGTGTGGTTCCTATAGTTTTAGGTTGAAAGAGAAGACTCCTTCCTGGATGAAGTAAACCTCTGAATGGCTTGCTTTGACTTACTGTTTTCTACTTGAACTACTTTTTAATCAGACTGGGGAAAAAAAGAAAAAACAAAAAGACGTTATCTACTATGTTTCAGGAATACTGGGTGCTTTTACATAGATTATTGCTGAGTAAATGAACTTCAGGAAATTAGAAGATGAAGGTATTTAAAGGAGGACCAATGTTCTTTGGAAATAGAATCACAGAATTTCAAAAGTAAAAGGATCTCAGGAGACATCTAGCTCGTTTTCTCAACGGGCCTCTTTTACCTTGAAAGATTTCTTCCATTGTTTCAGCCTGTGGAGATGTTTTGATCTCCTTCTACACTGGCTATCTGCTTTGGCAAACAGTTCATATCTTCATTAATTTTATGGATAAATGTTGAAGAGAATAGTGTCCGGCCAAGGTTCTATAGTATAGCATTAGAGACCTCCAGGTTGATAAAGCCTCCACCAATCAAGCCTCTTTGGTTATGATTTTCAACTATTAAGATATCACCCAACTACTTTAATCAACCAATGTCACCCCAATAAATTCAATAAAAGTAAAATAAAGAAATCACCCCAACTACTAAAACACTCCCCTGCTTGGAGATAGTGTTGATTTTTTAAGGTGGCACTCAAAAGGCAGAGTTTTTCATGGTCTGACTTCTCTCTGGCCTGGACAATGGCCAATATCCCACCATGGTGCCTACATTTTAGTTATTTTCAGCTGCTTGTTTCCCAAATCCTTCATGTTATTCACTGTTCCTTCTGTGTGGAATGCCTTTTATTATCTTTATGTAGTAACTCTGTTCTTTTTTAAAAATATATTTTTATTAATTTCAGAGAGGAAGGGAGAGAGATAGAAACATCGATGAGAGAGAATCATTGATTGGCTGCCTCCTGCATGCCCCCTACTGGGGATCGAGCCTGCAACCCGGGCAATGTGCCCTTGACCAGAATCTACCCCAGGATCCTTCAGTCCACAGGCTGACGCTCTATCCATTGAGCCAAAACAGCTGTGGCTCCTATGTATCTTTTAAGTTGAAGTGTTCCCTTGCTAAGAAATCTTTCCCTGGCAAACTACCTGTCTCTTCATTAGATTCGAGCATTCTCCTTCAATGCTCCCAAGCCACCCTTTACTTTCCTTCCATCATAGTACTTCACATATCACACTGTAATTGTTAGTACATACATGACTGTCTCTCCCACCAGAAAGTAAGTACTTACTTTGAGGGCAAGAGCTATATTTTATTTCTTTGCCCTTAGTATAGTATGTCACATAATATTGGTTCATTGAATTAATGATTTAAGCGTAATACAAAACTCATGTTGGATTCTCTTCCTTTTTTGTTTTTGCTTTTATGGAAACCTTCAAATAACTCAGGGATGTGGGGGACTGACTTATCTAATCCAGTTGTTAATAGAGCAATATACCCTTTATACCTTATTAGTAAGCAAAGCCTGGACATTTTACTTAACATGCTTAAGAGATGCTTCCTACTAAATGTCAATGTTTCTCTAGAAACTGTAATATTTCAAAGGTTATTTATCCTAAATGGTTTGCGTAAAGTTCAAACTGCACTTCTAAAGTGGATGTTCTGCTTCTATATTCTTAAAAAACTATAATATACTCCAAATATTTTTAACAATTCTGATTGTAACAATTCTGTCTCGTGCATATTTTGATAAAACCATTAAACAGATCAAAATTGTCAGAACAGCCCTAACCGGTTTGGCTCAGTGGATAGAGCGTCAGCCTGCAGACTGAAGGGTCCCGAGTTTGATTCTGGTCAAGGGCATGTACCTTGGTTGTGGGCACATCCCCAGTGGGGTGTGTGCAGGAGGCAGCTGATCGATGTTTCTCTCTCATTGATGTTTCTAGCTCTCTATCCCTCTCCCTTCCTCTCTGTAAAAAATCAATAAAATATTTTTTAAAAATTGTCAGAACATATTGTAATTTTGATTCTAGAAGTTTGGTAAATGTATGTATACTTTGAGTAATAATCTGATACTATTTCAAGTCACCTCAACAAATTAACAAATACATAGATCTATGTACATAATACGCTACTGAGGTCAAGAGAACTTCCAATATACTAATTCCTTCTAGAACATTTTAAAATGTTCGCCATATTTCAGAGTTTTACCTCTCAATCTGTAGTTCTTAAATCACATGGAGAAATCTGACAGGAAATTTGGTAAGAAAAGATTACAGGAGCCCGGTCAGCGTGACTCAGTGGTTGAGGATCGACCCATGAACCAGGAGGTTATGGTTTCATTCCCGGTCAGGGCACATACCTGGGTTGTGGGCTTGATCCCCAGTGTGGAGCATGCAGGAGGCAGCCAATCAATGATTCTCTTTCATCATTGATGTTTCTCTCTCTCTCCCTCTCCCTTCCTCTCTGAAATCAATAAAAATGTGTGTTTTTTTTAAAAAAATATATATTACAGGAAAGGGATTAACTAGCATTTTGAGCTTTAAGTCTTGGGTTTTGCCAAGATGTAGCAGAATGGGTCATAATGTATTTGTGCCCAGCCAGTGTGGCTCAGTGGTTGAGCATCGAAGCAGGAGG